CAGAAATTTAGGCTCTTCATTGTTGATAAATAATTACCTAATCACATTCTAAGTTTGTATATATGCATGTTAAAATTATTTTCATGGAACATGGACATCATTTCTAATTTTCAAAAAATTTATTTATTTAAAATATATATACCACTTAATCAGTGGATAAACCCCCTACAAACACTCTGTTTTCTAAAGAATCATAAACGGCCAAGGTCCCAAATCTATTTAACCTTCATACTATGTCACTTAATGATGCACATATGCATTAAAACAAAATTTTCATATTTTCTATTTTTTCACCGAAATATGTGGGCTAACCCCTACGAAAATCAATTTTTAGATAAATGCTATATTCAGAAGTTTAGGCTCTTCATTGTTGATAAATAACTACCTAATAACATTTTAAGTTTATATATATGTATGTTAAAATTAGTTTCATGGTACATAGAAATCATTTCTAGTTTTCTAATAGGTTATTTATTTAAATTCTTATACCATTTAATTACTGGACAAACCCACTACAAAAACTCTATTTTCTGAAAAAACATGAACAACTAAGGTCTCCAACCTCTTTAACCTTTATACTATGTCACTGAATGGTGCACATATGCCTTAAAACAAAATTTTCATATTTTCTAGTTTTTCCCAAAATATGTGGGCTAACCCCTACGAAAAATCGAGTTTTTCGATAAATGCTATATTCAGAAATTTAGGCTCTTCATTGTTGATAAATAATTACCTAATCACATTCTAAGTTTGTATTAATGTATGTTAAAATTAGTTTCATGGTACATGGACATCATTTCTAATTTTGTAATAGGTTATTTATTTAAAATTCATATACCACTTAATTAGTGGGCAAACCCACTAAAAAACACTATTTTCTGAAGAAACATGAACAACTAAGTTCTCAAACCTATTTAACCTTCATACTATGTCACTGAACGATTCACATATGCATTAAAACAAAAAAAAATTATTTTCTAATTTTCCCGAAATATGTGGGCTAACCACTACGAAAAAATCGAGTTTTTCGATAAATACTATATTCAGAAGTTTAGGCTATTCATTGTTAATTACCTAATCACATTCTAAGTTTTTATATATGTATGTTAAAATTATTTTCATGGTACATTGACATCATTTCTAATTTCTTAAAAGGTTATTTATTTAAAATTCATATACTATTTAATCAGTGGACAAACCCCCTACAAAAACTCTATTTTCTAAAGAATCATTAACACCTAAGGTCTCAAACCTTTTTAACCTTCATACTATATCACTGAATGATGGAAACATGCATTAAAACAAAAATTTCATGTTTTTTTATTTATTTTTCCGAAATATGTGGGCTAACCCCTACGAAAAATCAAGTTTTTCGATAAACGTTATATTTAGAAATTTAGGGTCTTCATTATTGATAAATTATTACCTAATCACATTCTAAATTTGTATTAATGTATGTTAAAATTAGTTTCATTGTACATGGACATCATTTATAATTTTCTAATAGGTTATTTATTTAAAATTCATATACCCTTAATTAGTGGACAAACCCACTACAAAAACTCTATTTTCTGAAGAAAGATGAACAACTAAGGTGATCGAATATAGCATTTATCGAAATGAAGAAACATGAAGTTTTGTTGACAAAACTTTTATTTAATAGGTTATTTATTTAAATTCTTATACCACTTAATTACTGGACAAACCCACTACAAAAACTCTATTTTCTGAAGAAACATGAACAAGTTAGGTCCCCAACCTCTTTAACCTTTATAATATGTCACTGAATGGTGCACATATGCATTAAAACAAAATTTTCATATTTTCTAATTTTTCCCGAAATATGTGGGCTATATTCAGAAATTTAGGCTCTTCATTGTTGATAAATAATTACCTAGCACATTCTAAGTTTGTATTAATATATGTTAAAATTAGTTTCATGGTACATGGACATCATTTCTAATTTTGTAATAGGTTATTTATTTAAAATTCATATACCACTTAATTAGTAGGCAAACCCACTAAAAAAACTCTATTTTCTGAAGAAACATGAACAACTAAGTTCTCAAACCTATTTAACCTTCATAATATGTCACTGAATGATGCACATATGCATTAAAACAAAATTCTTTTATTTTCTAATTTTCCCGAAATAAGTGGGCTAACCCCTACGAAAAAATCGAGTTTTTCGATAAATACTATATTCAGAAGTTTAGGCTATTCATTGTTGATAAATTATTACCTAATCACATTCTAAGTTTGTATTAATGTATGTTAAAATTAGTTTCATGGTACATGGACATCATTTCTAATTTTCTAGTAGGTTATTTTTTTAAATTCATATACCTCTTAGAATGTTAAACTTAGAAAAATACAATGACATAGTATGAAGAAAACTAGTGGTAAAATCTTGTAAAGAATTTATGTAAAAGAGGTTGGTTTGAAGTAAAACATAAATAACCCCATAATACAATGACATAGTATAAGGTTAAATAGGTTTGAGAACTTAGTTGTTCATGTTTCTTCAGAAAATAGAGTTTTTGTAGTAGGCATGCCATTGAATGATGTTCATGAAAATAAATAACATACATTAACTCGATGTTTCTTCAGAAAATAGAGGTTTTCTAATAGGTTAGTTATAAAATTAGTTGTTCATGTTTCTTAAGTTGTCAAACCTATTTAACCTTCATACTATGTCATTGAATGATGCACATATGCATTAAAACATAAATAACCCACATATGCATTAAGAGGTATAGTTTTTCTATTAGGTTAGTTATAAAATTAGTTGTTCATGTTTCTTAAGTTCTCAAACCTATTTAGCCTTCATACTATGTCACTGAATGATGCACATATGCATTAAAACAAAATTTTCATATTTTCTAATTTTCCTGAAATATGTGGGCTAACCCCTACGAAAAAATCGAGTTTTTCGATAAATACTATATTCAGAAGTTTAGGCTATTCATTGTTGATAAATAATTACCTAATCACATTCTAAGTTTGTATATATGTATGTTAAAATTAATTTCATGGTACATTAACATCATTTCTAATTTCCGAAAAGGTTATTTATTTAAAATTCATATACTACTTAATCAGTGGACAAACCCCCTACAAAAACTCTATTTTCTAAAGAATCATTAACACCTATGGTCTCAAACCTTTTTAACCTTCATAATATATCACTGAATGATGGAAATATGTATTAAAACAAAAATTTCATGTTTTTTATTTTTTCCGAAATATGTAGGCTAACCCCTACGAAAAATCGAGTTTTTCGATAAATGCTATATTTAGAAATTTAGGGTCTTCATTATTGATAAATTATTACCTAATCACATTCTAAATTTGTATTAATGTATGTTAAAATTAGTTTCATTGTACATGGACATCATTTCTAATTTTCTAATAGGTTATTTATTTAAAATTCATATACCACTTAATTAGTGGACAAACCCACTACAAAAACTCTATTTTCTGAAGAAATATGTCCATGTACCATGAAACTAAGTTTATCGAAAAACTCGATTTTTCGTAGGGATTTTATGTAGAGACTTCTTAAGTTCTCAACCACTTCAGTGCGTGGTGGTTCACTTGAGCATTTTTTGTAAACTTTCTCTTCTTATTGCAGATACCGAAAATAGAATTTTCTTGCTACATCTTTCTCAACCAGTTTTGCTCAGTGTTTGTGGGGTTCTTAAGATGTGGAAGCTGTATTTTAGGTATGCTCTTTCTATCCTCATCACCCTGTCAGCATCTAAAGCTTAAACGTTAGTGGACGCGATAAGTGTGGTGAGATCATCAAGAACCAGCTACTCTAATGATTGCACATAATGTTTTGGCAGTCGAGAAAATAAGGTGAACAACACTTTCTTGTGGTTACCAATATTGGTTGAGAAAGAGAATTGATAGTTGAAGACTTTTGTCAGCATCTAAAGCTTAAACGTTAGTGGACGCGATAAGAGTGGTGAGATCATCAAGAACCAGCTACTCTAATGATTGCACATAATTTTTTGGCAATAGAGAAAATAAGGTGAATAACACTTTCATGTGGTTACCAATATCGGTTGAGAAAGAGATTTGATAGTTGAAGTCTTTTGGAGCTGTTTAGTGGAACACGCCGAGTGGTGGTTGAGCGAAGCTAGTTAAATTTCGGGTTGATTTAGACTATTTTGTTTGAACCAAGTTTTGTAAGCAAAATTTCGAATTTCAGTTTTTTAGATTTATTAATAAAATATATAGTAAAAGGTATTCATTCCGTTTCAATTTATTTGTCGTTTTAGAGAAAAAATTGTTTCAAAATAAGTGTTGTTTTACAATTTCAATGCATAATTTATTAATTTTATTTACTTTTGTATTTTTCTATTAGTTGAAAAGTGGTTAAGTGTATATGTAATTGATGTTTTTATTCTTGAAGATATGTAAAATTAAATGTTTTTTTAATCTATAAATAAAAATTTAAAACGACGACTAAAGTAAAACGGAATGAGTATATTTTTTTTGGAAATATCAATTAATACAGGCTCTTACGTCACATTACGAATCTTGTAGTTTGTTCCACTTCAATTTTGTGGAGATGAATGAGTCAACATAGCTATTAAAATGAATAGATTATTTTGTATTTATGGGAATTATTAAAGCACTCTGATCACATGCATGGTGTGTACTCACTATTCCCATGCATTTATTGCTTCCATCGACAAACAAAGACTAAACGTCTAAAATAGTAAAGAAAACCACTTGAATTCTGTATAAAACAGATACGAGAATCTAAACTCTTGTTTGGGGAAAACAAAATGAACTTAATGTTAAATATGTGTAGGAAAAATATATTGGTGTTAGCATTATTTTCCATTTATTTCTTATCGACGGTTGCTGCGAAGGGATCATTTCCTGCACTTTTGGCTTTTGGAGATTCAATACTTGATACAGGTAACAACAATTTTCTCTTTACTCTTATGAGAGCAAATATCTGGCCATATGGGAGAAGCTACACCATGAGAATTCCAACGGGAAGATTCGGAAATGGACGAGTTTTCTCCGATATAATTGGTATGTATATATTCTATCATGAGCTATTATAATTCTTTTTTTGGTCAACTATCCATGCAATAAGATCAAGTTCCAGTCGACATAACTGTTACTATTATTTAACAGAACCATTTTTATTTTTATTTTGGGTTGTGGCAGCCGAGGGTTTGGGGATAAAAAAGACTTTACCACCTTCTCGTAAGTTTTTCATTGCTCCAAGCGACCTTAAAACTGGAGTTTGTTTCGCATCAGGTGGTGCAGGAGTTGACCCTGTCACATCTAGACTACTGGTGAATATAAGCTAACGAACTTGTTACTGCGGTTAAAAATATTATTACTTTTTTTTGAACCGTCGGTTAAAATATTATAGTATGTCTTAACTAACATTTTCTAATAAAATTTATGTGTGGCGGTTTGGTTAGAGAGTTTTAAAGCCGAGCGACCAAATAGGTGATTACAAAAAGTACATAATGAAGCTAAAGGTTGTAGCACCTACGCAAGCGAAATCAATCATTGCAAACGCAGTGTATCTTGTTTCTCAAGGAAATAATGATATTGGAATCTCGTTTTTTATGACTCGATCTGCATTCATGCGAGGATATTTGACAGGTGGTATGTACATCACTAAACTAACTAGTTGGAACAAAAGTTTTATGAAAGTAAGACATAACTTTAGTCTATTATTCATGCACTAGTAGTATGAAGTATGTATATTTTTGTTCACATTTTGTTTGGTCATGTATGAAGCAAATGTATGATCAAGGAGCCAGAAAATTCGCAGTGATGGGAGTGATACCGTTTGGATGTGTGCCTATGACAAGAATCTTGGGTAGGTGTAACATGTTCGCAAATATATTAGCTGAAAGGTACAACGCAAAACTGAAGAATGGTGTTAAAACTTGGCCAAGAGAAGCCGGTTTTCGTGGTTCAAAGTTTGTCTATGTCGACATGTTCAACACTCTTATGGATGTTATAAACAATTATAGAAAATACGGTACGTTGATTTACGCGCGGCATATATTATTTATATTGGTAGCATTCATTGATCTGTTCATTCTGTGTGACATACTCCTTCCATTTTATAATATATGATGCTTTAGAAAAAAGTTGGTGTTTCAAATTGTAAGAAATTTTGATATTTTATGTAAATTTTAATTTTATTAGAAACTATTCAACTAATTATATTTTACAGATATTTTATTATTTGTTTAATTATTTTAAATTTATTTTTATAATGATGTTTTATAGAGAACACTAAATTTATTAATCTTGTACATTTAAGCATAACATCTTACATTATTAAACAAAGGTAATCTTAGTTACAAAGCATTAGCAAAATCTATTTAGTAGTGACGTATCATGTTCTTATATTGTTGCAGGATTTAGTAATGCGAACAATGGGTGTTGTTGTATGCCTACAGCGATCGTACCTTGCATAAATCCTCATAGTCATGTCTTTTATGACTTTGTTCATCCCTCGGAGAGAGCCTACAAAACCATTTCCAAAAAGCTGGTCCAGGATATCAAGAGAGGCCTTGCCTAGTTTCAGTCTTAGCCTTATATTGTTGTAATCTTAATAACCAACAACGTACCAAAATAAATAATAATAAACAATCAACATCGTTAATTAATTATATATTTATGAGCATACATGATCACCTACTGATGATCTTATTACAAAAAGGGGTGTATATTCTAGTTGTGTATTGTTCATGTATAAACATAATTTAAGATCAAGGTGTTTATTTACAAGGATTTTTAATATAAAAACCCCTCAACTAAGTTTGTTTTGGGTAAAAACCCCTAAACTAAGTATTTAATGAAAAAACCCTCAAAATAACTTTATTTAGTGAATTAAACCCTCGCCGGTCATAATTACCAGTACTACCGGTAAATCTTCAGTTTAGGGGTTTTATCATTAAACATAAAAATCAATAAAATTCAAAATATAATAACATTATCTAAAAATTTGTAATTTTAATTTTAAAAACTAGCATTTTAAAAAATAATTTGTAACTATATGAGTCTGATTTGTTATCCTTTTAAAATCAAAATTATATATGTATAAATTTAAAATGTAAAAACCAAGAAAAATTATCTAATGATTTACCTGTAATAAAAATTATCAAAATTTATAAATATAAAAACAAGAAAACAGAATAAAAATGATATCTTATTTAATAAAAATGTAATAATAAATCTTTAAATGCTTTTTATTATATTTTGGTGTTTTAAACTTAAATCTATATATATAATATTGATGTTAAAACAAATCAAACTCATATATTTACAGAAAGTTTGCAAAATTCTAATTTTAAAAATTTAAGTTACTAATTTTTAGATAATGTTATAACTTTTTTTTTAGATTTTTAATGATAAAAACCCTTCAACTATGTTTAATATGAGGGGTTTACTTGTTAGTTTGGGGTTTTTTACCCCAAACAAACTTAGTTAAGGTATTTTAGAGTTAAAAACCCATTTTACAAGGATAAGAAATCATTCATATATTTACAAAAAAATTTAAAATGCTAGTTTTGAAAATTAAAATTACGAATTTTTAGATAATGTTATTATATTTTGATTTTTTTCTTTTTTTTGAATTTTTATGTTTAATGATAAAACCCCTAAACTAAAGATTTACCGGCAGTACTGGTAATTATGACCGGAGAGGGTTTAATTCACTAAATAAAGTTAGTTTGAGGTTTTTTTCATTAAAAACTTAGTTTAGGGGTTTTTACCCAAAATAAACTTAGTTGAGGGGTTTTTATGTTAAAAATCCTATTTACAATGTATCAAGGAAATACATCAGAAAAGGCTTTATATATATTGTAGGAAACGTCTTAATCAATAACCATTTCTTAGCTAACTAAATTCAAATGTATGGAATAAGAAATAACAATAATGTCCCAATAAATAGAGACACCAAAACTTCAAAACCTCTTTGACCATAATTTTATGTAAGTGCATGATGCAACTATGCATTAAAACCAAATTTTCATATTTTTGATTTTTTTTTCAAAACTTGTAAGTTAACCAATCCCCTACGAAAATATTGAACTTTTTTGTTAAATGTTATATATACCGAAGCTTATACTTTTTAGTGTCGTTTAAAATAACCATATTCTATATTTGTATTAATGTATGCTAAACATTTTTTGATGGTCCACAGACATTGTTTTAAGTTTTTAACACAATTAATTTAATAAAACTTCAAACACTACTTAAATTAGTCGATTAACCATTATGAAATCTCTATTATCTAGAGAAACGAAGACAACAGAGTTTCTAAGCCTCTTTGATCATCATCATATGTCATTACATGATAAAACTATGCATTAAAACAATCTTTCATATTTGTTTAATTTTTCTTAAAAATATGTGGGTTAACCCCAACATAAATATTTAAATATTTAACTTTTCGGTAAATTCTCCATATATTGAGACTTGTACTCTTTAGTGATGTATAAAAATCTCAAACCATGTTTTATTACTAGTATTAATGTATGCTTAACACTCATTCATGATAAATGGACATCTTTCTAATTGTTTAACAATTAATTTAGTAAAACTTCATGTACTGTCTACATCAATGGATTAAGCACTAAGAAATATCTATTTTCTTTTCTTGATAAACAGAGACAACAAAACTTCGTAACCTCTTTGACCATCATTTTATGTAAGTGCATGATGCAACTAAGAACTAAAAAAATATTTTTATATTTCTGAATTTTTCTCAAAATTTGTGGATTAAAACCATTATGAAAATTTATAGTTTTTTTTTCTACTGTATATAGTGAAGTTCATACTATCTAGTGTTGTTTATTATCGAACCACATTATACATTTAAGTTAATTTAATCTAAACTAGCTTATGTTGTACATGGACATTGCTCTAGTTTTGTTAATGATTAATTTAATTAAATTTCATATAGTGTCTATATTAGTGGACTAACCCTTATGAATCTATATTCTATAGAGAAACAGAGACTACAAAGGTTCTAAACCTTTTTAACTATCATTATATGCAAGTGAACGATGCAATTATGCATTAAAACCGAATTTTCATAATTTTGAATTTTTCTCAAAATATGTGGGTTAACCCCTACAAAAATATTGAATTTTTTTTATTAAATGTTATTTATACCAAAGCTTATACTCTTTGGTGTTGTTTAAAATTTTATAACCATATTATATATTTGTTTTAATGTACGCTAAATTCTTTTTCATGGTACACGGACATTGCTTTAAGTTTTTAACAATTAATTTAATAAAACTTCAAACATTACTTAAATTAAATTAGTCAATTAACCATTATGAAATCCCTATTATCTAGAGAAACGGAGACAACAGAGGTTCTAAACCTCTTTGACCATGATCATATGTCATTACATGATACAACTATGCATTAAAAAATATTTTCATATTTGTTTTAATGTTTTGAAAAATCTGTGGGTTAACCCCAACGAAAATATTTAGTTTTTTGGTAAATGTTCTATATACTAAGACTTGTACTCTTTAGTGTTGTATAAATCCCAAACCATGTTTTATTACTAGTATTAATGTATGATAAACACTCATTCACAATAAATAGACATCGTTCTAACTGTTTAACAATTAATTTTTAAAACTTCATATATTGCCTACATCAATGGATTAAACACTAAAAATATCTATTTTATGGATAAACGAGACAATAAAACTTCCAAACCTTTTTGACCATCATCTTATGTAATTCATGATGCCACTAAGAACTAAAACAAGATTTTTATACTTCTAAATATTTTTCAAAATCTGTGGGTTAAACAATTACGAAAATTTTTAGTTTTATTTTAACTGATTCACATAGTGAAGTTCATATTATCTAGTGTCGTGTAAAATTATCAAACCACATTCTACGTTGAAATTTAACAATCTTACGTTTTACATGGACATCGTTCTAGTTTTATTAACGATTAATTTAATAAAATTTCATATACTGCCTAAATTAGTGGACTAACCATTATGAATCTATATTTTCCAGAGAAACGGAGAAACCAAAGGTTTTAAACCTCTTTGACCATCATCATATGAAACTGAACGATGCAACTATGCATTAAAACTAAATTTTCATATTTTTCTCGAAATTTGTGGGTTATCCCCTACGAAAATATTGAATTTTTTTTTGTTAAATACTATATATACCAAAGATTATACTCTTTAGTGTTACTTAAAATTTTATAACTATATTCTATATTTGTATCAATGTATGCTAGACTCTTTTTCATGGTACACGAACATCTTTTTAATTTTTTAACAGATAATTTAATAAAACTTCGTACACAACTTAAATTAAATAGTCGATTGACCATTATGAAATCTCTATTATGTAGAGAAACATAGACAACATAGGTTCTAAACTTCTTTGACCATCATCATATGTCAGTATACGATGCAACTATGCATTAAAACAATATTGTCATATTTTTTTATTTTTTCTCAGAATCTGTGGGTTAACCCCAACAAAAATATTTAGAATTTTGGTAAATCCTCTATATACTGAGACTTGTACTCTATAGTGATGTTTAAAAATCTCAAACCAAATTTTACACTTGCATTAATATATGCTAAATACTCATTCATGATAAATGGGCATTGTTCTAGTTGTTTAACAACTAATTTAGTTAAACTTTATATAATGTCTACATCAATGGATGATTAAACACAAAGAAATATCAATTTTTGGATAAACAGAGACAATAAAGGTTCTAAACCTCTTTGAGCATCATCTTATGTTAGTGCATGATACAACTAAGAACGAAAATCTTATTTTCATATTTCTGAATTTTTCTCAAAATCTGTGGGTTAAACCATTTTGAATTTTTTTAGTTTTTTTCAACTACTTTATATAGTGAAGGTCATACTATCTAGTGTTGTTTAAAATTATCGAACCACATTACACATTTAAATTAATTTAATCTAAACTAGCTGATGTTGTACATGAACATTGTTCTAGTTTTGTTAACGATAATTTAATAAAATTTCATATACTGCCTAAGTTAGTGGAGTAACCACTATGAATCTCTATTCTCTAGAGAAACAGAGACAACAAAATTTCTAAACCTCTTTGACCATCATCATGTGCAAGTGAACGATGCAACTATTCATTAAAACCAAATTTTCATATTTTCTCAAATATGTGGGTTAATCCCTACGAAAATATTGATTTTTTTTTAAATGTTATACATACTCTATATTTGTATCAATGTATGCTAAACTCTTTTCCATGGTACACGAACATCTTTTTATTTTTTTAACAATTAATTTAATGTGATAGCAACTTCATTAAATAGTCGTATTGACAAAGAGAAGACTTCACAAAAAACAATGTCGTGGGTATTATGACCATTATGAAATCTCTATTATGTAGAGAAACAGAGACAACATAGGTTGCAAACCTCTTTGAACATCATAATCTGTCAATATATGGTGCAACTATGCATCAAAACAATATTGTCATATTTTTATTTTTATTTATGGGTTAACCCCAACAAAAATATTTAGATTTTCGGTAAATGCTCTATATGATGAGACTTGTACTCTATAGTGATGTTTAAAAATCTCAAGCAATATTTTACGATTGCATTAATATATTCTAAACACTCATTCATGATAAATGGGCATTCTTCTAATTTTTTAACAATTAATTTATTTATTTTTTAACATTAAAAGTTATTTTTTCCTAGAGCCGTTTATGGAGTTGTTATCTTCTTTAAAACATCCTAACATTCATTATGCGTGTACTGCATTCCCATGCATTTTGGCGTCCTTGGACAAACAAAAACTAGACGTCTAAAAATAGTTAGAAAAACATCAAGTAAATTCATTATAAAACATAGGAAAACAAAAAAAAAAAACTTGTGAACTTAATAGTCGATATGTTTAGGGAAAATATATTGGTGTTGACATTATTTTCCATTTATTGCCTTTCATCAGCGGCTGGACAAAACAAAACCTTTTCTGCAGTTTTTGCTTTTGGAGATTCAATACTAGATACTGGTAACAATAATCGTCTTCTTACTCTACTCAAGGGAAATTTCTGGCCATATGGTTGGAACTATGACTTTAAGATACCGACGGGAAGATTTGGAAATGGAAGAGTTTTCACCGATATGATTGGTAGGATATATATCACATTCTTTTTACGTACGGTCTTCTTATTTTTATTTTCACAGAAAAAAATGTTGTTTTTTGTTGTTGTTGTTGTTATCATATACTTTATATAGAAACATACGTTATAGAAAAATAGTATTTTCATGTCGTGAAATCTTCTTTTTTAGCTCAAGGGTTAGGGGTGAAAAGAGTTGTACCCGCTTATCGTAGGATGCGTCGCATCAAGCGCAACGACCTCAAAACTGGCGTTTGTTTCGCATCAGGTGGTTCAGGAATCGACGATCTTACATCTAAAACGCTGGTTAAGAGAGAAAAACTACGAACTTGTTAATTATTTCCTTAAACACTATTATATATATCTTGACCCATATTTTCTGATTAATATATTTTTTCCTTGGGTGGTCGTGTGTTGTTGTTTGGTTAGAGAGTTTTATCGACAGGCGACCAAGTAAGAGATTTCAAAAAATATTTGAAGAAACTAAAGAATGCGACGAAAAATAAGAAAGAAATGAAACATATAATTTCAAACGCAGTGTTTCTTATTTCTGAAGGAAATAACGATATTGGATACTTCGCGACTCCCGCTCGTCTACGATTACAATCCAGAGATACATACACAAGTAACATGGTTTTTTGGACAAAAACATTCTTACAAGTAAGACTTTATAAGATACACATATATATATTTGTTTTTAAAACTTGAAAATCAAGGAATGATATAGTATGCATTTGTTCACATTCTTTTGGTTTATGTAACTATATATATATATATATATATATATGAAGGATTTATATGATCTTGGAGCGAGAAAATTCGCGGTGATGGGAGTGATTCCGGTAGGATGCTTGCCTTTCCATCGCTTCCTATTTGGTGGAGTATTCGCATGGTGTAACTTCATGATGAATAAAGTTGCGGAAGACTTCAACACAAAATTGCAGAAAGCTGTTATTGGTTACGAAGTAGAAGAATGTTTTAAAGGTGCAAAGTTTGTTTACGTCGACATGTACGGCTCTATCATGGATCTTATCAACCATCCTAAGGCCTATGGTACGTAATCAAATACACAATCCATAAATATACGCATGAAATTAATAACCTCTAGTGGATAATAATGTTGTGGCTGCGTTATTTTTTCTATTAAAAGATTACACACATGTTGGCCTCCAAATTATATTTAGATTATAGATTGTTTGGGCCCCAAAAATTGTTGAAATTATCTTAGTGTATTGGTTAAATGAATTTTATTTGAAGGACTACGTGGAGATCATAGTCCTATTACGTAATAATGGCAAATTAGTTATGTATGTGTGTACACATGCTTGCAGGGTTTACAGAAGCGAAAAGATCGTGTTGTTGTATGGTGACATCGATAATACCATGCCGAAACCCGGATGAGTACGTATTCTATGACTTCGCCCACCCCACCATGAAAGCCTATGAAGTAATATCTAAACCTCTTGTCTATCAGATAAGGAAAGGCCTTGCATGATTTAGTTTATTCTAATCTTAGCTATCATTATCGTTGAGCTCGTAACAGGTGACAGTATCATACATGATGAAAATTATTCTTAGTGTAAAGAATGTATAATCCAATGATGTAACGTTGTATTGTCCTTTCTATTATAATGTCACAGAATAAACGCGATTGTCAATAAATGCATATATGGTAACGAAAATAACTCAAAAGAGGACTAGTGTATAAACGACAGAAAGCTTTGTGGATGCATATTTTAGTCTTTGACGAACGAATCAAATAAATAACGACTCAGTAGCAAACTTATTCAGATCAATTCAAATGAGAAAAGTAACAAAATTAAATATAGTATATAACTCCTTTCAGAACCGGGCGATGGAGCTTTTTAATGTTACCCACTGATCCTAAATCAACCCAAACCAAACCTAAATCAAAGCATATATCCAAACCATACCGTTAATATTTTTAACAACCCAAACGGTTTAATTCGGTATGATTAAAACAAACCAAAATAAAATATTTTTAATCAAATATCACTGATATATCTGATATTTAAAATATTTTTAATACTGATTTGTTATTCGATTTCTTACATTGATCTAACCGACGGTAAGATATTAAGAACTTTGACCCAAAAAAGGTATTGTTATACTTATACCCTAATTTAAACTGCGTAAATGCTCAACTCTTAACGATTAGGGAACCAGGAAGAGAAAATAACGATTATATGTGTCAAGGATTTTACATCAAAACAACATCGTATAAAGCATATCATACGTTTTTATTGAGTTACCAAATATATGCAGCTTCAAACAAACTATGCAAACTTATTGTTTCATTTTGGTTTTGCCAAAATTGTGTGGGAATTAATAGCTTGCACGTTTGTTTAAGTAAATTACCTTTCGCAACAAGTACTCAAGTCTTTTCTCCAAAAAAAAAAAAAAGAGTACTCAATCACAAAACTAAAGGTCCTGCTATACGGTCATGCCTAAGAAACCTCCTTCAATTCAGTAGTTTTTGTTTTGTTTTGTTTGTTCCTCACATACACGAATATGTTAACTAATTTATTGGTAAATTAATGGAAATATTTTATAATTTAATATTTTAATACTTATAGTTATAACTAAGTAAATAGTTAACCAAATTTTTATTTAAGCAACACTTGTTCGATTATTATAAAAACCTTTATAGCACACACATTTCATCTCCTACATTCCCCCATTCATTGTCGGTCACGTATGTGAATCACGTGGCTTACCTCTTCCCGTATTTGCTTCAAATGTATGAACTAATGAAATAAATACTTATCAATCCACATTGTCTTTTAAGCTCTTAAGACTATATATAACAGCAAAAATCATTTACATTCCTTCAAGTATTCTCTTTACTTAAGAGAATCAAATACTCACTAATGGAGAGGTTCCATAAGTTTCCTCTCCTAAGTTTGGTTTTTTTCCTCGGCTTTATCGGCTCACCAACCACGGCCACGGCCATTGTACATGCCTGCTCCAGTACAGAACAAACCTTTAGTCGTGCCAACTTCCCTGAGGGTTTTATTTTTGGTACATCAACCGCAGCTTTTCAGGTGTTAAAATGAACATGCATGTTGTTAAGTTGATTTTTTTAAAAATAATTAATGTTTGTGACAAAAGAATCTTGAATCTTAGTGATTTCTGTGGTAAATTAAATAAATAAATAGGTTGAAGGAGCTGTACATGAAGGATGTAGAGGTCCAAGCATGTGGGACACCTACACTAAGAAGTTCCCACGTCTCTCTCTCTCTCTCTGACTTTCTTTATTGTCAACTACTTTTTATAATTCATTGACTAATAAAAATTGCCAATTATACATACAATCATCAGATATTTTTTTCTTTCAGATAGAAATAATTATCATAAGCCTGACGTTGCTGTCGATTTCTACCATCGTTACAAGGTATTAATGATGTTATTTATCCATGGTTTATATATACTTGTGTAGCTCTTCTTATAAAATTGAAGCTCTCTCAAGTCATATTAATTTTAATTATTAAATTTAATAGGAAGATATCAAGTTGATGAAAGATCTGAACACTGATGGCTTTAGATTTTCCATTGCATGGCCTAGAATATTCCCTCGTAAGTAAAAAGCTCTCAAGAAACTTTATTTTAACTGTTGATACATATCATTATGAATTTGTGATAATAAAAGTAAGTAAATAACATAAAATCAAATCATTCAACAGATGGTAGGATGGAGAAAGGTATAAGCAAAGTAGGTGTACAGTTTTACCACGACCTAATTGATGAGCTTCTCAAAAATGGTAATTATTTGTTTTATTTCCTATACACTAAGCTCTTTACAATCCATATTATATCAAAAGTTCAAAACAATAACTCGTTCAAAGTCTTATTTTGTTTCAAAACTCAGAAATAACACCGTTAGTAACCGTTTTTCACTGGGACACTCCCCAAGACTTGGAAGATGAATACGGTGGCTTCTTAAGCGACCGCATAATGTAAGCTCGTTTTTTACTTTACACGACATATACATGTTTCTATATTTTTTTTTTTTTCCATTACAATGTAACTTTATGTAAACTCTCATATGTGTATTTGGTTTATTTAGAAAGGATTATACGGAGTACGCAAATTTCACATTCCAAGAGTACGGACACAAAGTGAAGCATTGGATCACATTTAACGAGCCATGGGTGTTCAGCAGAACTGGCTACGACATTGGGAAAACAGCACCGGGACGTTGTTCTAAGTACATTAAAGAGCATGGAGACTTGTGTCACGATGGACAATCAGGACACGAAGCTTATATCGTTAGCCATAACATGCTCTTGGCACATGCCGATGCCGTTGAAGCCTTTAGAAATTGCGACAAGGTTTCCATATATACAACATAATCATCTATAAAATAAATGTTAGTATTCAGGTAAATAGATGAACAAGTATTAGCTAAGAAACATTTGTCTATCATGATTTACAGTGTAGAGGTGGTAAAATCGGGATTGCTCATACTCCGGCTTGGTTCGACCAGCGCCAGCTCTCGGACCCACAAGAGCACTCGGCAGACGAACACGAAACTCCTGCAACTAATTTGATTGACTTCGTCTTGGGATGGTAAGAAAATATCACGAATATTCCAAAATCTTATTTTTCTGTTAAAAAAAAATAAAATAGATAATATCAAGGCTTATTTACCGTTCTTTGCCCAATAACTAAAGAAATAGGAAAATTGGATTTTGAGAAAAAGAGATAGAAGGAGAAAGTAGGAAAGATAGAGAGGGGAAGTTTTAGTTAGTTAGTTAGTAAATTTATGATTTTTTTTGTTTATATAGGGTGCAATTTCTCTATAATCAAATTCACAGTAAAAAAAAAACAGTTTTGGCACACAATTACCAAAATATATATATATATATATATATATATATCACATATATAAATATATTTCATGTGTGTGTGACAAATACTAATTTTCGTATCAGGCATTTGAATCCGACCACGTATGGAGATTATCCACAATCGATGAAACATCATGTCGGAGATCGACTACCAGAATTTACGGAAGCACAGAAGAACAAGTTGAAAAATTCTGCTGATTTTGTAGGAATCAATTACCATTATTCACTATTTGCGTTGCACGACGAAGAGCCAGATCCTACGAAACCTAGTTGGCAGAGTGATTCTCTCATTGACTATGAACGTAACTCTTCTTCTTCTTTTTTTAAACTCTTCATCAGACTATTTATTATTTATATAAATATTTAGAACATTTTCGAAACCTCGTTTTTTTCAGCTAGGTATGTGGATAAATACAATCCATTTACTATCAAGGTATGTGATTTTTTAAACGTGAATGAATTTGTTTGTTTTTTTCTAAAATATACTTTTTTGCATTAGCCTGATGTTGCTAGGGTGGAAGTCTACGCAAATGGTTTGAGAAGCCTTCTGAACTATATAAAGGATAAATATGGCAATCCTGAAGTCATTATCACCGGGAATGGTTAGAGAAACGTTTACCTAAATTGAATCTCAAAGAGCAAATTCGATTTAGCTTACATTACATTACATTACAATATAGCCCTGATTTTTTAAAAAAATATTTGATTTGTATTAAGGATACGGAGAGGATCTAGGTGAGCTAGACAGAAGTCTTGTATTGGCGCTCTCAGATCACCAAAGAACATACTATATTCAGAAGCATCTCTTGAGCTTGCACGAAGCCATTTGGTTTGTGAACAAATCGTATTTTTGAGTTCTATTTGGATGGTAATGCTAATTTATGTTCTTTTGTTTATTTACAAATGTTTATTTGTATTTGTGTCCATTTTTCTTTGCAGCGAGGATAAAGTAAACGTTACAGGGTATTTTCATTGGTCATTGATGGATAATTTTGAATGGCAAGATGGATACAGCGCCAGATTTGGGCTATACTACGTCGATTACCAAAATAACTTGACCCGCCATGAAAAATTATCAGCTCAATGGTACTCGAGTTTTCTCCAAGATGGACGGAAAGAGTTCGAGTCTGAGCACTATGAGCACGATGAGTACGATGAGCATGATGAGCACGATGAGTACGATAAGCACGATGAGTTGTAGTGAGGATGCTCTACTATAAGACTTTTGATATTTTGAGTCAAAAATTATATATCTTCAAACTACAATGTATTCCCATATATTGGTCCTGTAATGGGCCAAACCTAGACCTCAATTAAATCATTCTGTTGTCCAAAAAAGGTAGATTTATCGATATAAAACAATGGAGTTTGGATTTGTTTCCACTGAATTATTCCATTTAATATTTTTATTAATTATTTTAGTTCTTACATCAAAGTAAAATAGAATTTAAATGAAATTCAACTCTATTATAGAGTTACTCTATTTTTCTAAAAAAAACTTGAAGTAATAATATATTAGAAATGTTCTAAGATACATATGTTTACAAAATAGCTCGTCAATGTTGAATAATCAAATACAAATAGAAAAAAATGGAAAACTAAAAACTAAAAAATGAAAGGAAAAAAAACAAAAGAAAATACCTAAATAAAATTATATCAATAAAAAAAATCAACCTATTTCTCTGATTTGTATCCGAACAACAACTTTTGATAAAATACAATTTTGCGAGAGTGTTAATAATATTGTATAAAAATTATGATATGTGCCAGACCAGACATATAATTATATATCAAAAAATTATGACACATGACTATTTTTTCAAAGGCACATGTCGACTATCAAATAAAAATATGTAAACGAGTTAAACTAATTTATGCGTTAAATCTGTAATCTGACAAAAAGATAAGCATCAACTGTATACTAATTTACCAAAAAAATTATTAAAAAACAATTAAAAAATTACACTAATTTATGGGTTAAATACAAATATAATTTCTTTATTATCTCCAAAACTCCACCAAAGTAGGGATACAAAAGACCGCGAAAAGTCAAAATTTAACATTTTCCAAAGTTTTAACTTTAATAAAAACCATGATTTTTAACAATTTTCCTAATTTTCCTTTTTTCCGAAAAAGAAAAATAAAACCTTTGACCGACTTATCATTATTAGGGATTTATAAATAAAGACGCATCCCTACCTTTTCTTCTAATTTCACTCATCGCCTCTCTCTCTCATCGCAAATCTCTTCCTCTCAAAATCTCTCAACAAACATGTCGACGAAGAAGATCGTGTTGAAAAGCTCCGACGGCGAGTCCTTCGAGGTCGACGAGGCCGTGGCTCTCGAGTCTCAGACCATAGCCCACATGGTCGAAGACGACTGCGTCGACAACGGAATCCCTCTCCCCAACGTCACCAGCAAGATCCTCGCGAAGGTGATTGAGTACTGCAGGAAACACGTGGAAGCTGCTGCTTCCAAGACCGAGGCCGTCGACGGTGGCGCTTCCTCCGACGAGGATCTCAAGGCTTGGGACGCTGAGTTCATGAAGATCGATCAAGCTACCCTCTTTGAACTCATCTTGGTAAGGATTCTAGATTTTGAGATTTGGGTTTCGGTTAAAGGTTGGATCTTTGATTGTTAGGGTTTTCGATTTTGGAAATTAGGGTTTCGTGAAATTTGGGGGTTTTGTTTAAAGATTGGTTCTTTTGTGAGATTGAGATTAGGGTTTGGTGAAATAGTGTGTTAATTTTAGGGGTTTCCTTTAAAGGTTGGATTTTTATTAAAATTAAGATTGTTAGGGTTTGGTGGGTTTCCTTTAAAGGTTGGATTTTTATTAACATTGGGATTGATAGGGTTTGGTTCCTTCGTGTCTGAAATTAGGGGTTTCCTTTAAAAGTTGGATTCTTATTAAAATTGAGATTGTTAAGGTTTGGTTCTCTCGTGTCTGAAATTAGGGGTTTCGTTTAAAGGTTGGTTCTGTAGTGATGTTTTGAATCAATTGTGATTTTGATTGGATCTAATGAATTGTTTTGGGTCTTGCAGGCAGCTAACTACTTGAACATTAAGAACCTTCTTGACTTGACATGTCAGACGGTGGCTGATATGATCAAGGGGAAGACTCCTGAGGAGATTCGCACGACGTTCAACATCAAGAACGATTTTACAGCTGAGGAGGAAGAGGAGGTGCGTAGGGAGAACCAATGGGCTTTTGAATGATCAATATAAGCCTTTGTTATTGAAGCAAAAATTATGTTATTGTCTTATTTTCGTCTGTGGATGATGATGACTTGGTTTCTTTTTATGTTCGGTCTGAAATCCATGACTATGTTCGTCCTCTTTAATTAATATTAAGAACCTATGCTTGCTTTTTAATCGGTCTTAAATGGTGTTGTTGGTTTTGCTTGCTTAAATCTTTTGGCTTGTTCCTCTGCTTCGTCCTTGACACAAACGTGGAAACCATGTTTATTGATCTCTCTGTTTCTTCTCAATGCAAAGAAGTACAATCATGATGCATCAAACAACTTAGACACAACCATATGCATGTGTGGTTAAAATTAAAGAGTTATATATGTCTTTTAAATACATAAAGACAAGTACTCAAAGCTAATTAACTCAAGAACTGAGCGTTCTAGAGTCTGAACACTGATGTTCTTTCTCCTAGTGAAAAAAGATTGTTCAGATCATTTCCCCCACGTTTATGGTATTGAGCATAATTTACATATAGATTAAGTGCACTGTGTGATTGGTTGCCTTCAACTAGCATGTGATCTTCTAAAACAAAATCTTTCATCATTCTCCAAGTTCATCGCCAAGTGCCAGAGGCCGTGGTATTAAAAGCACCTTAGCTGGTTCAGTTATTCCTTTTTCTATTGTCTCAAGAGAATTGTCAGCGGAGTGAATAAGAAACTCCAAATCTGTCTCCATTGGTGTATTGTATATGGTCAATCGTGCGGGCACTTGTGCATTTGTTGTTATGCTGATTATTCATTAATCCAAACAGAGACACACAGAAACATCAACACTCGTTCAAGATTCATGAATTGATGCCAAAATTGAGTATAATCTAATGCATTCAATGCACAAAACTGGATGCACATGTTTATACATCACTAAGAACACTGAATACACATGTTCAACTGGTGCATTCTCACGTTTTGGCGCTGACTACATTTATATTACACCAATCACAGTGATTGGTTGTACGAGTAGAAGTTTATATTATCTTCATTCTTCAAGTAGCATGTGATCCTTTAATTGCATATATAAGAAAACAAGATTTCATCACTCCGTTCCAATCAACGATCAGGTCAACTATACCAAATGGACAGAACATACCGTCTTGGGAAGAAGCGTAGAAGCATGGGTTCCCGTTTTCAATATTGTAATCTATTTTCATTCTTATTTTAACAAAATTCTATTTATGTACTGCAGCAATATATAGATGTTCCACGTTCAAATGTAAGTTGCATACATGTGTCCATGTTAAAATATATGTTCTACAGAACAGCTATATTCAGATTTTAATTGAAGTTAAAACTTTGAAGGCTTTAGAAAATTTCAAAGCTTTTAAATTTTGTTTTTTAATCAAAATTCTTATATTTAATTATTCTAAAATGGCTAAAATTTAATTTGTTTTAGTTGTTTGTATAAAATCTAAGTAACTTGATTTTAAGAACAAAATACTTATTTTTTCTTATGAATATTTGTTTCACATGATAATTAATACATTTATATAATTTATATCATTTTCTTGCATTATCCTAATCGTTACATATATATACTCATGTTTTTATTACTAAAATAATTTATACTTTTAAATAAAAATTATAAATAACATTTACCATGTTTTAGTTACCAATCAAAACTTATAAATACTTTATTTTAGTAGAAAAACAACTTCCTTATCTTCTTATCATTCCTTTACCTCCAAAATCTCTACATCAGAAAACCAAAAAATCACATCATAAAGCTAAAGTCATTCCTTATCTTCTTATCATTCCTTGTCGGAGCAGTTACTGACTTTTCTCAAAACTAACCAAATCCAGTCCACTTTTACCTCTAAAAAAAACTTAAAACTTATTATTTGTCTAAAGCTTGTCTCTATCTCTATAAAAGAGCTACAGTATTATCTATCTCTCTTCCTTGTCTTAAACTAATCCTCTTTCACTACCACTAAACCACAGTTAAATTCATTCAGACATCATTTCTTGTCGGAGCAGTTACTGACTTTTTCTTACAGTTTCCAAAACGTAACTTTTACTCTTTATCTCTATAAAGAGCTACCTATCCATCTTTCCTTGTGGTCTCACTCAACAAAAAAATCAAAGACCATGGAAGAGCTAAAGCCAAACGCAGCAAACTCACAACCCTTAACTCCCTTAACCTTCCTCGAGAGAGCATCCACAGTGTACGGAGACTCCACCTCCATCATCTACAACACCTCCACCACCTACACGTGGCGCGAAACCAATCTCCGCTGCCTCCGCGTCGCGTCCTCTCTCTCTTCCCTCGGAATCAAAAGATCCGACGTCGTCTCCGTCCTCTCCGCCAACACTCCGGCCATGTACGAGCTCCAGTTCGCCGTCCCGATGGCCGGAGCCATCCTCAACAACGTCAACACTCGCCTCGACGCCGCCACCGTCTCCGTCCTCCTCCGCCACTGCGAAGCTAAGCTCCTCTTCGTCGACGTGGTCTACTCCCACCTCGCCGTCGAAGCGGTGGAGAAACTCGAAAAACCGCCCATCCTCGTCCTCATCGAGGAGGACGAGGAGGAGGCGGGAGAAGATGGTGCTGACGTGGCAGACGTTTCGAAATTCTGTTATTCGTATAATGTTTTAGTGGAAACAGGGGATCCGGGTTTTAAATGGATCCGACCCGAGAGCGAGTGGGATCCGATTGTGATTAACTACACTTCCGGAACGACGTCGTCTCCGAAAGGAGTGGTTCACTGTCACAGGGGTATTTTCGTAATGTCGTTAGATTCATTAATCGACTGGACCGTACCGAAGAATCCGGTTTACTTATGGACCTTACCGATATTCCACGCGAACGGTTGGTGTTACCCGTGGGGAATAGCAGCCGTTGGAGGGACTAACGTCTGTTTACGTAAGTTCCAAGCTCCGTTAATCCACCGTTTGATCCGTGATCACGGCGTTACTCACATGTGCGGCGCGCCCGTGGTTCTCAACATGTTAACGTCTAGTGAGGTCCAGGAGCGTCTTAAAAGTCCGGTTCATTTCTTAACCGCCGGTTCATCACCGCCGGTTAAGGTCCTCCTAAGGGCGGAGTCTCTCGGTTTCGTTGTCAGCCACGGTTACGGGCTAACGGAAGTAGCCGGCGTGGTGGTGTCATGCGCGTGGAAGCTAGAATGGAACCGTTTACCGGCGAGTGAACGTGCGAGGTTGAAGGGGAGACAAGGAGTGAGAACGGTCGGGTTTACGGAGATAGACGTGGTGGAGACCGGTTCGGGTCGGAGTGTGGAGAGAGATGGGGTGACTATGGGGGAGATAGTTATGAGAGGGAGTTCGGTTATGCTCGGTTACTTTAAAGATCCTGTCGGAACGAGGAAGAGTTTAAAGAACGGGTGGTTTTTCACGGGGGACGTTGGTGTGATGCATGGAGATGGGTATCTTGAGATTAAAGATAGGTTGAAAGATGTTATTATTACGGGTGGAGAGAATGTGAGTAGTGTGGAGGTGGAGGCGGTTTTGTATACGAATCCGGTGGTGAATGAAGTGGCTGTGGTGGCTAGAGGGGATGAGTATTGGGGAGAGACGCCGTGTGCTTTTGTGAGTTTGAGAGATGGGTTGAGGAGGAAAGTTACGGAGGAGGAGGTTATAGAGTATTGTAGGGAGAAGATGCCACGTTATATGGTGCCTAAAACGGTTGTGTTTCTTGATGAGTTGCCTAAGACATCTACTGGGAAGATTCCTAAGTTTTTGCTTAAGGAGATTGCTAGTAAAATGGGTTCCACGAGGTTAAGTCGGTTGTGAGAAATATACTATTGTTTGATTTAGTAATTGGTTATGGATTGAAGTGTAAGATTGATGGCTTAGACTGGTGCATGAGTGTGTGCTTTGTGTCATCTTCAAGTTCTATTGATTGTGAAAGCTATTTAAGTTTATGGGTTCAATTTGATGCCAATATTGTGTGGTGATACCTTTTCTCCTTAATAAAGTTTTTCATGTTTTTGTGTATTCAGCTCTGTTACATTGTAGATTTTTGAGTATTGACTTCATCACATCTCTGTCATTATGATTTGAACTAAAGTTTTCTTTGTAGTTTGAAAAGTGTTTGGAACTTACAAGTAAAATTATGATCAAATCAGCTAAACAATCTATCTTTTTCCAAGAAAAGTTGGAGACTAATAAAACCTTTTCTTTCACTTAAACAAAAGAAAGTATCACTGTGCAAAATCCAAGATCAGATTGTTGTTATAAAGAACAAAAAAAGCTCCGTTACCGGGAATCGAACCCGGGTCTCCTGGGTGAAAGCCAGATATCCTAACCGCTGGACGATAACGGATTGATGTTAGACACTGTGTGTATTAATACTCAGCCTATGTATATTAGTTCCTTCGCCACATTCATCAAGAACATCATAGAGCCAAAAAAAAATCTTCAATTACAAAATTTTCTTGTCAGATAAAACACAACAAAACAGCTTTATGAATATTGTAGAACAACAAAACTGCAATAAACCTTCAAAGTTCTAATCTGACTTCAGCATAATCATCAGCAAACACAATTTCCAAAGAAAGTCAACAGTAGTTTCTGCAAACTGTATCATAGAGCCACTTTTTTCTTTTCTTTATACTCTTCCAAGGTGATCAGTGACTCCTTGTTTTTGGTCCAATCTGCAGGTCTTGGCATGATTATCGCAATATATCCTTCACGATCAGCCTGATATCCGATTAGGTAACCAAAAATATTACATTATCAGCGTTACTAAACATATAAGGATGAAATCAACATTGACTAACTATTCTGTACCGGTTGATTCCACAAGCAAAATACTTGACACTGAATAACAATATAGCTCAAAGAAAGATGTATATCATACCGATGAATTAAGAAGCCGAGGATGATTGATTAATCTCTCGTTCACCTCCAATAGAGAACCTTTTACACAACACCTAGAAAAAAACAACAAAATCAAAACAATACAAAATATCAAATCTTTAGCACAAACTTAAACGCTTTGCACCTGACAATATAAGAATCATTTGCAGTGGAGACTTTGCACAAAGCTGTATTCGATTCAGACCGCATAGCATTCTGCACAAGAAAGAGAATTTAAATAAACACTAAGCTACAAAAAAATCAACCAAAAGTAAAAGTCTTTAACTCAGATAATAAGCAAAAAAACCTTTTTACGCTTGCCGGAGACTTTCAGAACGCTACGATCAGACTTACCAACATTGAAATCAACGCTAATGATCCCACCTTCGTCCTTAAAAGCTATATGCGTAGGAGCTAATCCCACCACACACAAACTTTAACAAAAAAAAAACAAAACACAAAATGAAAAAAAAAAACATCAATGTTTCGTTAAAATGAAATGAAAACAGAGCAAAAAAGGAAGAGACTTTGACATGCAAAACAAAACAAAACAAAACAAAACTAAACTAAACTAAACTAAACTAAACTAAACTAAACTAAACTAAACTAAACTAAACTAAACACAGACAAGTGAGAAAAGGCCAATCTTGTAATGAAAAGAGAGCAAAAAGGAAGAGACTTTGACATACCCATTAGCGTGACGGTAGATATACTGATCATGACCCAATTTCGTATAATCTACAAAAAATGGGTTTTATTTATTTATACTATCAAAAGGAAGAGTCTTTGAGAAAAGGGTTTGGATGAATGAAAGTGAGAACCTGTGATGAAGTAAGAGACGAAGTTGAGTTGTGTAGCTGATGGAGGAGTAAGTGGAAGCTCTCCTATATCTGAAAGCAGTGAAAAACCTAGAGCACGGATATAGTCTCAAGAAGATCAAACTGAATACTCTTATTGAAGTTCTTTAAACAAATTACACACTAACTTGTTTAATCAGATTCACTTGACTTCACAACTTGTGAATCAACACTGAACAACTTCAAGACACACGAGACTCAAAACACTTTCTGCTCTCGGTGTTAGAACTCTCAAAAACCGTGTCTAACCTAAACCACCAGCCTCGTCTATTATAGTCCTAGACGATCTGATTTTTAGCTTACAGATAACAATAAATCTATTATTCTACTTCCTAGAATCTCTCTGATTTATGTATATCTTAACATGGGATAATTCTTCTCTTGCCACGTCACCACATGCGTTTGAATTAGTCCCGCCTAAGCTCGAACTGAGCAATCTTGCAATTGATGAACACTCCACTGGTTTTCATGCCTCAACAATCTCCCCCTTTTTGAGTGTCTATCATCACCAAGCACCTGACGATTGAATTCACGTACCTGTGACATATACCACTAAACAGAGACATCTATTCATACTAATGTTAGAACAATTAGTAATTAAAACCAAAGCATTCAACCAAAAGATCGTTCTTTAGAAATACAACACCAGCACTTCTAATCTCACAACCACGCATAAGTATCTTAACAACAACCAACTTATACCCATCTTAACCGTCACTTCTTCTGAAAAACAAACTCCCCCTATCACATAGATCTGGAATAACAAGAAAAACTACTCCCCCTAGATCTTAGAACTACTCCCCCTAGACCTTAGAACTCCTCACTATGACTGTTGTCATCATCCACCTCGTGTTCTCCATCTTCATCTTCGTCGCTGCTGCTATCACCTAGATTAGACAAATCCCCATATTCTCCCCCTGCTTGGTGGCATAGACACTTAAAAACAGAGTTATGAAAACAACAAGATCATGTTAATGTTAGAAGTCACTTACGTGCAGATCTTCTGATAACATTGTCAATGAGGCGATAGACATGGCCAAGATCCTTAGTCAAAGAACGTCGAGGTGCCATTCCAGGAGGTTTCTTTGGAACACCTTGTTTTCCATCAAGCACCATCTTGGTAAGCTCAGTAAGTTCAGAGTCTTCAGAATCGCCTTGGATCGGATGCTGAGATTGAAGCAAATGCTGAATAAGTCCTGGAAAGAGCAACTTCTTGGTCTTGCCCGATGCAGCTTGCTGTCTCAACTCAAAAATCTGATCAAACACCATAACTCCAAAGTCAAACGGCCTTCCCTCAGTAATCATATGAATGAACTTGATTCGATCGATGGTCAAAGTTGATCGATTTGCTGTAGGAATCCAATTGTAGACACAGAACTTGAAGAGAACATTCATCGTTGGAGTGATATCAAGCATACTAAGATTTCCCCATTTCTTCTTCTTTCCACCGGTCATGGTTTCCACTGCTTTGTCAAGATTCTCAGTAACCCATGGCTTACGCGGAAAATCAACTGGTTGACAAAGTGTCTTGAAGATGCTATTGATAATGGTGGGAGAAAACTCATACATGTGATTTCTCACATATACCCAAGTAGTACCATCACGCTTGATCATGTTTCCTAGATTAGCATAGAATTCCAGAATAACTTCTTGAGTAAAACATGGCAAGTCCAGAACAGAGTACATCAGCCCAGCCTTCTCAATAATGTTTCTAGCCTCATCAAGTTTCTCACAACCTGATGGCAGAAACTTTTCCCCTAGGATGGTTTGAGAAAGTAAACACTCATACCTCTTGCTCCCTGCAACCCGATAGAAAGATCCACTGAAGGGTGAGCGTTTCGGATTGGTAAGACTTGGTATTGCAGAGAGACGAGATTGATGCTGGGCTTGCAGTCGCCGTTGTCGTGGTTCAAGTTCTTCATAGACAAAACCCTCTCTTGCATTGGTTTCCATCCATTCCGGCTCCTCATCGTCACTTTCAGTGTCGATTATGTCTTGCATGTCGAACTCCGGATCTTGTTCTTCTTCCTGTTTGTCGGGGACTACTTCAGAATTCACTTCGGAAGCTTGTTCCGAGAAGATCTCGTCAATTGTAGTCGTTTTCTTCTTCCGGCAACCTTTAATTCGTCGACCCAATCTGCTAGACGAGCCCTCAGATCTGACTCCTTTAGAGTGTTTAAGCTTCTCGGGTGTGGGAATGGTAGGATTTCGGGCAATTCTTCGGATCAATGACGACATGATTTGTCCGCGTGTTCTTGGTCTTGTCTCGTCACTCATGAGACAATTTTTGGAAGAGAGAAAGTTGCTTTCGGCGTGTTCTTGTTGACCTAATTCTTCCACAAACTGACTTATATATCTCACAATCTCATCAAACAAAAGCCCATTAGTATTAATATCTCAAATGAAAAACCCAAATTCAACCCATTATGCCTTAGAAACAAATATAAGAATATGCAAGTTATTAGGAACTTAGCGAGCAAAGTATGTCTCATCAGCACATAAAAAATAATTGAAAATCAAAGAAAACTTACATATTTACACACTTGTGCAAGCTTGGCTAGAGGAGGATTCAGCAGTTTCCAAATATCAAGTATCAGACAGTCACCAAGAAGTATACTGTTAATGGTTATCAAGATCAAATATCAACCCATTGGCTCTCTGCAATGGCTATCTACGATAGCTTTCATCACTTCGATCAAAACGTACTAGTCTTCACATCATCATACACACGAAGTTCATTACTTCTAACCAAGACCAGACAAAAGACAGACTTTCTAAGTAAATCCCAATCAAAACATTGATCTCAGTCAGTGTTTAAGTATTTTTGTACCCA